AAACCCAGAATCCTAATTTTCAGACGCCAGGTAGTGGAGATAGAGGCAACATCCTTGAAGGACAAGACATACCCTTGGAAATTGAAAAGAACACTAATCTTATTGTAGTTCGGCAAGAGACTGAAAAGGAACCTGGGTTATTGCCTTCACGTGGCTCCATGAGTGAACCAGAAGCTGAAACAAAGCCAAAGCTAGGTGCTTTAGGTGTTGGCTTTTCACCTGCCCATGAGCCCCCAAAAGTTAGAGAGTTGCTGCCAACACCGGACTTTGAGGCCACGCCTCCCAGACCTCCAAAGCCTACCAAAAAAACTAAACAGGGCACAAAATATAATGAACGTTCTTCTAGCAATTCCCAAGAGATCGAGGAAGACTATGAAATCGACCTAAAAAGACTTGAAGTCCGAGATGAAGTGCTTGGAGAAGGGGAATTTGGAATTGTTTATAAAGGACGCTATCATTGTAAGGATACGAAAGTCATTGATGTAGCAGTGAAACAGTTGAAAGGTATGTATGTAGATAGTGAATTCACTCCTTGCGTTGGTTATACTGCATCTCAGTCAGCACAAGACAAAATCGTCTGGTTCTCATGACTATTTTTATCATATTTTTAATCTATACCATCACGCCTCAACTAACCAATCAGTTTCATCGGACCAGACTTGACCAGACTTTACTCTAAAGATGACTTCCTTTCGGGTTGTCTAAAAGTTAGTCAGCAATAACGGTTCTTTTCAGAACTTACCTCACCCGGATGATCACAAAATCACCCTGTACGAATTTAACTTACCTTAGCTGTAAATATTTGTGGAAAAAAAAATGGAAATCAAATTTAAGATCACCTAAGGGCTCTTAAACGCATCATGTATTTCGCTATGTGTATACCGCCTCTATTAATCTAAAATAAACCATTTCCGAGGTCCCTTGTATCTCTGTTTCAAAACGAGTCTTCGTGCCAAACCTTTCAAGTGAAAATGAGTTTGATTTGCATGAAAATAAACTTGTGGGTGGAACATCTTTCCGTATGAATGGTTTTGCCCAAAGACTGGTTTTGATACCAGGGCACAAGGTGACTCGGAGGGGGCCTATTTGAGAATGGTGAGTGAATTACTAAACAAGTTTACCTTTCTTTTTTGTGAATGCATAGACACGGCTAATAAGACTGAGAAAGTTGCCCTTCTCAGTGAAATACAGATTTTGAAGCGGGCTGGACGGCATCCTAATATAGTCAACTTGGTTGGCGCATGTACTCAGGGTGGTAAGTTGCCAAGAAATCATCACGTGACCATAAGCTAATAAAACTTGATAATAACATGAGTTATCTCTACGTTTCCAGTCACCTGGCAGTTATTGAATGATTTTATACTAGTGCCAGGATGTTCAAAGCACGATTAAGCTACTCCAGGACAAACTTAAATTTCCATTTCATTTTTGTAACGTTTCAGTTCCTTTGCCCTTCAGCTTTGACTCGGTAGGATGCAGAGGGGTTAAGTATCTGTTCGAGCTAAGCCCATCCGGCGAACGTTTATAAATCCGGTTTTTGTCACGTCATTCTGTAGAATGATGTGACAAGGATTGTTTCTACTGAGCCCCTGGATGAGGTGGTAGTCCATCGCAGAGTTACTAAGAGAGGCACAGGTGTCTGACCCAAGTACACAACAGAATGGCCCCAGGCAGGGCTCGCACCCAGGGCTTTTACGCCAGCGCATAATCCATTTGGCTGCTACTTGACTGGACTAATCCTAAAATGTACAAAACAAAAGTAGAATAAAAATGCTTAAACTCTTATGGTGGTTTCACTGTCGAGCAATCAAATATTAAAATAAAGAATCTGGCACACGGCAGATGATTGATTTATAGACACCGTCGTCAAGATTTAGGTCTGTGCGGTTTTCCATTCGCGCTTTATTCGGAGAAGAGAAGTTTATTCGAAGGGAGCGGGGCACCGGGACAGCGAGAAAGTGTCCGCGCTGATTTATGACTAAATATTCATGAAACTTGGATACTGTTCAAAATATACGGAGACCCGTCTCACGGGTCTTAAAGAAGGCCAGGCTAAATAAAGCCAACCGCTATTTTTTATTTGGTTAGAAAATATTCTTCTGGTCACTGATTTGATTCCCGGAGGAACCCTTGAAAGTTTGTTGACTTCCAAGCCTGCCCCTGGTGAGCACGGCAAGTACGAGAATATCAAATGTGCGCTGAATGATCGGGACCTGATAAAAATTGCTCTGCAGATCGCCTCAGGAATGCAACACTTGGAAAGCAAGAAGGTGCGTGATACATCGTGTACAGTGTACTTGTACTATGAAAATATAGTTCCGAAGTGTCTTGTTCTGGCTCTACAAGAAAACATAGCCAAGTTTTGATGCGTCAAATGCCAAGAAAGGAAATGCATTTCATCTTCTCCGATTTGCAACAAATTGTCAATAAATGTCTAAGTGTATGTAAATATAGTTTCACTGAAACGGAAGCTGTCT